TTTAGAGACAAGGATGTCGTGTGGGACAGTATCAAATGCTTTAGATAAGTCCAGGCAGACGATGTCAGTTGCTCTTCCCCGATCCATCAATGCTGTGACCTCATCATAGAAGGCCACCAAATTAGTCAGGCAGGATTTGCCCTTAGTGAAGCCATGTTGGCTGTCACCAATCACCTCCTTATTTTCCATGTGCCTTAGCATATTCGCCAGGAGGATCTGCTCCATGATCTTGCCGGGCCCAGAGGTGAGACTGACTGGCCTGTCGTTCCCTGGGTCGTTTTTCCCCTTTTTAAAATGGGGGCTGTGTTTCCCCTTTCCCAGTCAGTGGGAACTTCACCAGGTCTCGAACCTGATCTTTTCCTACAGTGGGCGGTTCTTCATTCTCCCAGTCCCTGCCTTTGTCTTCGGCGACTCGGGCTGTGCCGCTGGAGCTCTTGCCAGTGAAGACTGAGGCAAAGAAGTCGTTGAGAACCTCAGCCTTCTCCATATCCTGGGTGGCCAGGTCCCCCATTTCCTTCTGGAGAGGGCCTACATCTTCCCTAGATCTCTTTTTATCACTGACATAGCTATAGAAGTTTTTCTTGTTGCCCTTGATGTCCCTGGCCAGATTTAGCTCTATCAGGGCTTTGTCTATCAGGGCTTTGGCTTTCCTAACCTGAGCTCTGGTTGCTCGGACAATTGCTCTGTATTCTTCCCAGGCTACCTGTCCTTGCTTCCACCCTCTGGAGTCCTTCTTTTCATGTCCAAGTTGGTCCAGGAGCTCCTTGCTCATCCAAGCAGACCTCCTGGTGTTCCTACCTGACTTTCTCTTTGTTGGGATGCACCGCTCCTGAGCTTGGAGGAGGTGATCCTTGAATATTACACAGCTTTCTTGGGCCCCTATTCCCATCAATCTCTCCCTTCAGTCTTCCAACTTTGGTGAACCCATCCAGACATCCAGCCCCACATCACCACCCAAAAGCTGTTCCTGTTTCCCAAGAGGCCCAAGCAACTGACCATGGGCCCCGCCCAACGTTCTGTCTTTGACAACCCCATGGTCTGCAGAGGGCCCACAGCCCCCTCACCTGTGACAGCGTCGGTGGAGATGGGGCCCAGGCGTTTCCGACCCCACACCCCGTACAGGTTGAACTTGTAGCGGCGGGACGGGGACAGCCCAGGGACGGTCACCGTGCGGGAACCACCGTCCACGGGCAGCACCTGGGGCTGCCCTTGGGCATCCTTGTACTGCACCGTGAAGGAGTCAAAGGTGCCCTCGGGGACGCTCCACTGCAGCTGGACGGAGTCGGGGGTGACCTGGGAGGCCGTGAGCTCGCCCAGGCGGGGCGGGGATGGTGGTTCCTCCTCTGGCTCGGCTGCAGCTGCAACAGGAAAGCACAATGCAGGACTGATGACCCTCCACCTATCCATCTATCCATCTATCCATCCATCTATCTGCCTATCCCTCCATCTGTCTCATCACTCACCCATCACTTGACTCACTCAATCATCCCCCTTCCATCCATTTCCTGTTCCTCAAGTTGACTGTCCACTCATCTGTTCATCCATCCAATTACCCCTTTGTCAGGCAATTCATCCATCCATCCATCCATCCATCCATCCATCCATGTGTCTTCCTACCTATGCTTCCTTCTAACCAGTCACCCATCACCTTTCCATGACCCTTGTTCCTCACACCAGTTCATGGAACCTAGCCATCCAAGCATGCAACCATCCATCCATTCACTCATTGAACAGTCTGACTGTCCATCTCACCACCCATGCTTCCATCCATCCATCCATCTATTCAGCTGTCATCAGTCCACCCAATCATTTTTCCATCCATCCAGCTAGCCAGTCAATCCCAAACATCCATCCATCCAGTCCTAACTGTCCATCCATCCATCCTGAACCACCCATCCATCCATTTAATCCCATCTATTCATCCATCTAATCCCATCTATTCATCCATTCCATCAATCCATCCATCCACCCATCCAATCCCAACAATGCCCATTTAATCCCATCCATCTATCCACCTACCCACCACCCAATCAGCCACCCTTTCACTCAAACATCCCTCCATCCCTCTGACCTTGCACATGTCCACCACCAAATCAAGGCCAGATGCTCCTCCCAGATCCCTCAAGGCCAAAGGACCCGACAAGGCTCCTGACTCATTTCAAACCCAGCCCCCACAGAGGACATAGACGGGGCCCAGAGATGTCCTCACCTGTGACGGCGTCCGTGGAGATAAGACCAATCCGTTTCCGACCCCACACCCCGTACAGGTTGAACTTGTAGCGGCGGGATGGGGACAGCCCAGGGACAGTCACCGTGCGGGATCCACCATCAACCGCAAGTGCCTGAGGTTGGCCTTGTGCATCCCTGTACTGCACCGTGAAGGAGTCAAAGGTGCCCTCGAGGACGTTCCACTCCAGCTGGACGGAGTTGGAGGTGACCTGGGAGATCATGAGCTCGCCCAGGCGGGGCCGAGGTGGTGGTTCCTCCGATGGTGGGGCTGGCACTGCAGTGGAGATGGCACAAAGCAGAACATGAA